TAGATAGATAGATAGATAGATAGATAGATAGATAGATAGATAGATAGATAGATAGATAGATAGATATCCTCACAGCTTGGTATCTGAGTTCTCCTCCTTTGAAATGATCCTCTTTAAGTCTCGTTAAGTTATTTAAAGCATCATCGTAAAATGCCAGATCTAAAATGTGTATTGATGATCATGGTTTGACATTCGTTACTATTCTCGGGTGCTCTCAAAAACTCATATTATCCTTGTCTTTCCCTATAACCCATCTGCCAGTTGCTCTAGGCCTACCAGCCATGCCTTCTGATTTCTCCAGTGAGAACAAATAATAATCAAGGTCTTTATTTCTATTCAAGCGTCCCACAACCTGCATTTAAGGAATGCTATGTGGAATAACGCCTTTACAAGTACAGGGAGACCATTAATTTGGAAGTAGAACCTCCGAATTTAGCGCTCATATCTGATAAGAACCAGTCATGTGGACCGTGAACCTTAAAAATTCTCCCAACAACCGAAGTTAAGAACTGAACCCCCGTCATTTGCAACAAAGTCTGTGACGATGTCAACTTAACTGTCTGTGCAGACCGTGTGTAGTGGGGTTTTAACTTTAATAAACAAACAACACGCAAATGGAGAAAAAACAACAGAGAAGAGAATGCACTATAACACAAAGTTTCTGTTACAAATTAATTGTTTTATAATTAATATCACTATGTACAGCGCATGATCCCGTTCAGCAACAAGCCCTATATTATTATCATTATGCTTTATTGGCTTAATTATTACCCCGGCAGACCCAGTAGCACCCTGAAACAATCTCAACTACCTGGAAGCAGACACTACTAGCTGCCATTTGGTCACTTTTAAGCACAAGGGGGGCTATCCCGAAAAATACTGTTTTGAGAAAATCGAAGGGAAAGTTTTTTCTCATTGTTCAGTTTCTCTAAAAGACTAGGAGAGTTTCCTCTTTAACCAAAAAATATACACACCAACAAAACCAAACTTCTCCTAAAGGTAGAGCAATGTCCACTTTTGGTGTAAGTCAAGATTTCTGGAAACCCCTGAAATCTGCGTTAGCAGCCCGCTTGTCCTTAAGAGCGACCATTTTACAGGCGCTAAAGCACTATTCGTCACTGAATGGTCAATAGAGGCGGCCCACTTACTTGGCTTGTCGTGGTTCATGCTCTCGGTGGGGAAGGAACCCATGCGCATCGCATACACCCACGAGTGTACGCGGTTAACCAGAACTCGTTGTTGTGAGTGGCTCTCTCCCACGGCTGCTGTGCTCACTACATCAAAGGTGCGCTTGTGTTTTCTTTTTGCCAGTTGTTGGCTTTTTTCGCGCCGTTCGGGGACCGTAACTGGGAGGCCAGGGAAAACAGGGCAGGGTCATCAAAATGTAATAATGGTGGCTTGTTTGTTTTAGATAATGTGGGAGGGGCGAGGGAGCGGGGAGATGAGGGACGGTGGAGGGAGGTCGTGAAGTTAGATGAAGGGCAGATGGGATAAAGTAAAAGAATTGAAGCAGGGTGAGTGGTTGTGTATGCTTGTGTGTGCGCGTATGTTTGCATGTGCGCGTATGTTTGCTTTCGTCTGTTTGCGAGTCTGTCAAGTCTGTGTGAGGAGGGGGG